CACGATTTACTGAGCGGCCACCGATACAGTTTATTTGTATCTCCTCTGGGTTCATGAACATTCCAGCTGGCAGCCTGAGACTAAACCCCAAACCCATGGCTATGGAGTCGAATCCACCTCGGAATGGCACCCTCTACAAGACTGAGCAGAACTTCCCCAATGGGGATCCATCTTCACAGAAGCAGAGTGCCAGCTCCGTCCATCCATCTCTCATGGAGCAAGAGGTAGGTTTGAACCACCAACCTTTCTGTTAGCAGCCGAGTGCTTAACCAGTGCGCCAGCAGACCTCCTTAGCCTGACATTAATCCCCAGCAGGGAAGCCTCACAACTGGGAAGAGGAGAGGCGTGTCGCCTGGCTTTTGCACCGGTGGCGTGCAGGAGTGGGAAGACTTTCAAATAAGAAACTGTCAGGCAGACTGCTCCTTCTCACCAACCCCACTTTCGCTAATCATAGCCCTTTAAGAAGCACTGCTTATTGCAGAGATGAAATAAAAACAAAGCTCCCAACATACCTGGACGTTGTAAGACCCTGGTTTTGCTTTAAAACAAAATGATCCGTGAGCATCCGTCTCCACGGTGACCCGAGGCTTGTCCTTGTCTTGAGATGACAGGACAACTCTGTATTTGCTCATCTGCTTGACCGTGTCAGGGAAGCGGATGATGGAGATCTGGCCGCAGACGCTGAACCTGTCCAAAAGAAAGCCATGCATCCCGGCTCCGTTAGGAAAGGCTCCTGTCAGCCAACAGTCTGGTCCCCCTGGCCACCCACATGCCAGCAGCCAGCTGAGGTTTAGTGTTAAGGAAGACACAGAAGTCCACCTGTCTGCACAGGGCAGTATCTGGCAAGCTCCCGCGGGCAGACCCCATTTTCACAACCTCTGTAGACACGAAAACTGTCTCAGCTAATTGGATCATGGGCAATCGAGTTGGAATGTGAACGAGCCCTTAAATGCAAGGGCTCTCTGCCACGAGCCCAGGCCAACTCATAGTGGCCCTACAGCCCAGGGCAGAACTGCCCTGGTGAGTCTGAGACTCTTCAAGGGGGAGAACCCAAGACCAAACTCACTGCAATGGAGCCAACGCAGACTGAGAGCGAGTTCCTGTGTCTACAGGAACAGAAAGGCCAGTCTTTCCCCCAAGGGGCTGTTGGTGGTTCCGAACTGCTGACCATGCGACCCAGTCCAACTTGCAGTCACTAGGGCTCCCCAAAGCAAGGACTAGAAGCTGCCTGAGAAATGTTGGCATTATCCCAGGCTTAAAACATGGCAGGGTTATCAAAGACCCTTCCTCGCTTTTGATGATATTTAATGCGGGGATAAAAGCAATCGGAGAGATGAACAGAGGAGGTAATTAGTTTAAAAAGGCAAAGCTACGACTGACCACCTGAGGAGCTAGGAGCTACAAAAGCCGCTTCTCATGGAAAGCTCTGCTAAGTGGCGACTCAAACTTGAGACGGAGGAGCAGTGAGAGGTGCAGCGAGCACAGGGCGAGAATTCAAGGCAAGGCCACGCTTTCCTGACGCAGACCAATGAAGAGTAACGTCCTCACAGCACTGACCCTCACTGAGAGTCGCTGACGGCCCGACGTGCAGAGTCACCGGCACAGCTGCGGGCTGTTGACAGCGGCTAAAAGTTCGGGTTTCTTTTAAAGAATTACTTTAGGTAAGAAGAAAATCCCCTGTGGTTTCTGCAGGGAAGATAACACAGAACGGTGGAGTCTGAGCCTCACCCGAGAGCACAGGGTGGTGGGCTGGTCTGTGGCTGGAACCCGGGGAGATCAAGAATAGCAATCGGCAGTCGTTTCTTCAGGGCGAAGCCGGCCAGCCCGTGCCCGAGCCCACGGGGAGGAAATGAGGAGACTGCCCGGAGGAGTCGGAACACCAAGGGGAAGAACTGCTGGAGGGCAGCCTGGGGAGCAGTGCTGTCCCCCTTCACCCAGCTCTCAATAAAAAGCTTTAAAGGGAAAAAATATATATATACATATAGATGAAACTCAAAACCCAACTCTTTATTCTGTGCAACTGTGGCAGAGGTGAAGTGTTCCCAGAGGCCAGGCCCGCGGGCTACAATATTGATCACAGAGAGCAAGGGTCCTCAAACTACGGCCCGCGGGCCACATGCGGCCTGCCGAGGACATTAATCCAGCCCGCCGGGTGTTTTTGCCGCCGCTGCCTGTCCTGCTTAGCAGCTGATTCTTCCAGGGTGCATAAGAACTTGTTCACAGTGTTTTTTAAAAAACTATAGTCCCGCCCTCCAACGGTCAGAGGGACAGTGAACTGGCCCCCTGTTTAAAAAGTTTGAGGACCCCTGACAGAGAGAGTGCGCTGACCCTTGTTCAGATGAGAGGGGTGCACTTGGGTCCTCACGGCACACCCCACAGTGGGTGCTTTGGAAAAAAGGAGAGAAGGGGAGACAGACAGGCTGATGAAATACTCCACCAAGACCTGGCATGTCCACCGGGACCACGCCTTCCTCTCGCCCAGCTGAACCTGTCTGCACCCCAAAACTTCCAGTACTGCTACCATGAGATCAATTTCAGCTCATGGTCTCCATTGGAGAGAGGGGTCTATTTTTTCCTTATCAATTCTCCAAGCTCAAGGGCATACTGGATCCTTGAAAGACACCTGCAGAGCCAACGGGGGCTGACGTGCGTCAGTCAAGTCTGTCATCAGGGCTTCATTCGCTTCTGGGTGGAAATGGGTCCCGTTGGCTCTGTCAAGCTTGTGGGGCAAGTCCACCCCTTTCCATGGCACTACTTGAGTCCCCTTGCTTTCTCACAGTCACTTGTGCTCTCGTGCCCCGGGGTTTTCTTTGAAATTGAATCGGGAGATTTTTTTTTTTTTAAAGAAAAGAAAAAGGTAAGAAATGTCAGTAAGTCAAGAGGCACAGATGCTATCTGGCCCGCGAGAAAACCGGTGGTGCTTGTTTCTAAAGACACTGGCGGGGTTGCTGTTCCTCCTCTGATCCACACAACCCACTTTAAGGAGGAAGCTGTAGAAACGGCGCTGCCATCTCCGCACAGCTCCTCCTCCACCCAGCCAGCTGCTAACCAGGAGACTGGGCCTCCAACAGCACTGTGCCCGGGGAGTCGCCACCAAGGCCACCTGTGTGTCACTTCCAGCCCCGGCAACAACCCGGCCCCAGCCACCACCAGCCAACGGTCAGAGCCTCCTCGGGGCCCCCAGTGCGCTCTGGTCCTGCTTCAGCCCCCACTCCACACAGTAGGCAGCCCCCCAGGGCCCTGGCCCACCTCAGACCACACCACCCTCCCTCCAAGGCCTGGGCAGATGCAGGCAGCGCCTGTTTGGAAAGTCCCTTACTGGGCTAAGGTTGAGTCCTCCTGAAGGTCTCCCTAAGAGAGGCCTTCCTGAGCCCCAGGGCAGCCTGGTCTCTCCCTACACCACACTTGGCACTGCTGACAGTGCTTGTACTTGCTCTCCGTCTCCCCAGTGGGAGAAGCTCCGCAAACGTGTCAGCTGGGCTCACTGCTACCCACCCAGCGTCTCTCGGCCGAGGAGAGGGGAGCTTCCGCTCAAGCGGGACTCCCAGAGAGCCCAGCACAGCGGAGGGGTAGAACAAGTCCCAACAGCTTTGTCTCCTCATCCTCTCTTCACCTCTGAGCCCTGCCCTGGATCCTGCCCTGTACGTGGTCGCCGTGGCACGGTCACTATGGCTTCCTCAGGGAACAAACCAGGGGACTGTCTTGCCCTGGACCGCCTGCCTTCCCCACACAACTGTGCACATCAGACCACCAGCCCTACCTCAGAGCTAAACTTCCTTCCATAGATCCTGTGCCCCCACACACCCTTGGCCCACCCGGGGCCAGCCCCTAACTGCCGACCTTCCATTTTGACTTTATGCTCCCTTCTAACTCCCATGCTCGAGGTTTGGACCCTCCCCGCGGTCTCACCTTCAGGGTCCCAAGCTGCCCTAGCATTTAATGGAGAGCACCACCTGGGGGAGTGACAAACACCCAGTCAACACAAGCCCCACACGGCCTAGAGGCTCCTTTCCTGACCCAGTCAGGGGCAGCAGCAGCCACCCTGCCGCTCAAGTTGGGAACCCAGAAACCTCCCTGACTTTCCCTTTCCTGCCCTTCCCCTCCCCAAAACAAACCCAGTACCAGTCCTGCTGACTTCTAGCCCCGAAGCATGCCTCCACTGTCCTGTACTTCACGCGCAAGTCTCTCCTCCCCTTCCACCACGTCACTAGACCACCCAACTCAGAAAGGAACGGAATCATGTTACCTCAGTGCGCACAACGGCCCCCTGGCTGATGGCGCCCCGGGCAGGAGGGAGCCCCATCTCCCTTCTGCACCACCCTGCTCTTCCTGCTCCACGCCACCAGCTCCAGACACCCAGCCACAGCACAGCTCTGACGCCGCACACCTCGGCCCCACACCTTTCCTTTCAAGCTGCTGCATGGTGGGGGGAGAGCTTGAACGGTGTCCCCCAAACAGCTACCCCAGTCTCAAGCCTCAATGAACGTGACCTTACCTGGACACGGGGGGTTGTAGATCTAAGTAGTCCAGTTAGCACAAGGAGCTAACTGGTGGAGTCAGGGAAGACCTAACCTAAGAGGGCTCTGAGAGGCAGCTGCACAGACCCTCAGGGAGAGACAGAGGGAGAGGAAGGGAGGCTGGAGCTGCCATAAGCACAGGAACAAGGGTTAACAGAGGCAAAGCAGGGGGAGGACATGTCCCCAGAGGTGTCCGAGGGAACACGGCTCAGCTAACACCTAAAGTGCAGACTTTAAGTCCCCAAGCTATCAGGGAATCCATTTCTGTTCCTTTAAGCCAGTGAGCACTCACTGCTCTCAGAGAGAGGGCAGGGCCCTCCCCACCACCACCAGCCTACCGTTTCCAAGGCGATCGGAGCCCACACGTGTCTGCCCTAGCACAACTCGACGGGACTCAACCACAGACCACCCCCTGCACACACACACCGAGTGCTGACAGAGCAGGAGGAACTCTGAGGCAGCATCTTACCGCAAACATTCTCAACCAACCATTTTCAACAGTTCTTCGAGTTAGCCCAAGAAAGGTGCCCGGGACGCCAAGCCACACACGAAAGGGAGTTTTCAAACTCTGACAGGCCCGTTTAAATGTGGAAGAAACAAACTGTTTCATAAGACTGAGCAACGGTCATCCTGAAGGTGACCTGAGTCTCTCGGGAGGTGTGTGAGGATGTTCAGAGGGCTCCCAGGTGACCTGGCTGCGAGCCGTCTGCCACCAGGAGCAGATTTCCAAATCCAAGCGCCATGGCCTCACCCTGTTGCAATGATGTCGGCCAGCTGCGGGGTGTTGGGGGCGATCTTGATGGTGAGCGTCTCGAAGGAGAGGTGCTCCTTCTGAGCATGGATGGTGTAGGTCCCCGTGGTTATGTTCTCTAGGCGGAAGGAGCCATCCGCTTTCGTTCTGACTGAAACACACACACGCACAAAAGGTGAGGCAAGAGCACTGCACGTCCCAACACAGACTCGGGAAAACCGGGGCAGCATGTTTTCATACAGTGAAGATTTCACTCCCTGGCACAGGAAGCTCCAGGGAAGTTTGCAAGAGTTCAAGGCAGCAGAGCAAACACTGTTATATACATTGTCCTGCCACAGTAGGGAGGCTTCGACAGGCACACCAAATGCACAGGTGGGAGAGGAAGTGGGGGTAACATCATCCTGAAGCTTTATAGGTTTGACAAAGGATACCTGTGTACGTATATTTACTTTTTGCTGCGAATTGATCCACAGATGTGGTAGGGTACACGGGGGATGTTACGCAGACTTCTGAGACACAACCAAACGCCTTTGGGGAATGAGCTGCTGGGCCTGGGGCATCAGGACCGTGGTTCTCAGGGTACACCAAGGTCCACGGGCATAACCAGTCCCCAAAGGTGGTAGTAGTCTACGCCTCAATGGGGTGAGCAGTCCCTGAGCAGCCATCTGGGGGACACTCAGTCTCTCCCCATCCAGAGGAGAGCAGAGGGACAAACAAGGAAAGATGCCTAGAAAAACTAGTCCACTGGCCTCATGAACCACAAGCACACCCATCACAACCCTGAGACCACAAAGAGCGCAGTGGTGCCCGGCTACCAGCACCCACTGCTCTGAAAAGGGTCGTGTCAGAAGGTCCGAGATAAGAGGGGAGGAAAATGTGGAATAAAATTCAAAAGCATATGAGGCCAAGCTGGATGGAGGCTGGTGGGACCTCCAAAACTATGGGCCTTACTCACCCTTCAGGCCTGAAGCTTCACTCACTGCCATGTAGAAACGGCACCTTTTAAGCCCCATCGGGCACCGTTTCCCCAAGGACAAAGTTCAGAGGGTGAGGAAAGAGCGGGGAACGGAACCCAGAGAGCCAGGGAGAGGGGGAGGAGAGATGGTGCCCTGAGGGGGATGGGTGCGGGCAGTGGTGAGCTGAGTCAGAATGTAGGAACTGCTGAGTGTGAAACTATGGTCCGCTCTGTCAATGTAAACCATCACCTAGTTCACCATAGAAAGTTAAAAGGGGGGGTGGGGGTGGGGGGAATGTCCTTCCCATTTCTCTCTGTGATCAGAAGACGGCACCGACCCCGTCCCAGAGTCATGGTCTGCTCACCTCTGATCTGGTTATTCAGAGTGACCACGGCCTCTGGCACGCCTTCTCCCTCTGGGCCGTTCAAGACCCTGCCGGTGACGGAGAACCCCATGACGTGGAACACGGGCTGGAAACAAAGAAGAGGAGGTGTACTCTGTGGGCCTCACAAAGCCCTCGCTGAGCCTCCCACCATGGCTCACCGCGTCCTCCCCCCCTGCTCTCCTCTCAGTCCCAGACGCCAGTCACTCACCCCAGCAACCTCCCTTCACCCAGAGGCCAGCCCGCTCCTGCCCATGCCCCTGCCCGACGCCGTCTGCTGTTAGCAGCCATCCCCTCGCGAGTGGTGAGAGCAGTCTACATGTTTGCGGCAACATCTAATGACGAGGTTAGGGGCCATGTCTGTCTCCTTCGCAGTTGTCCCAGAACAGTGGCACTCGTCGAGTAACTGAAGTCAATAGAGGGACAGGCTACCTCTGAGTCAGTCGCCGTGAGCTTGTGAAAATTCTTCCCACTAATCACTGTTCCCTTCCTGATTCCTCCTCTCCCAACTCCCGTCTCCAGGCTCCTCTGTAGCTTCCAGCTCCTACGGCCACACAGTCCCCTCTGCTCCATTCTTTCTCCACCACAACCAGAGTTCAAGTCCTCGAGACTCCCACCTGAGCCGGACTCAGCCCTTGGGCACTTGCAGCCAGCACCTGATGCACTGCACTCACACGTGGCCCCAGAGTAGCGGTTCTCAACCCCTTTGGCGTCAAACGACCCTTTCACAGGGGTCGCCTGATTCATAACAGGAGCAAAATTACAGTGATGAAGTAGCAATGGAAACCATTTTGTGGTTGGGGGTCACCACCACATGAGGAACTGTATTAAGGGTCGCGGCCTGAGGAAAGTTGAGAACCACTGCTCTGGAGTGTGAGGGGAAAGGAG